CGATAAATGGAGTCAAGAGAAACTTGAAAGAAGCCGGCCGGCCTTTATCAACCTCAATCAAGATGGGTCAAGTATATAAGAACTTGTAGTGTGTTCGAGATTGGTTTGTTGATGTTTACCTACTCTACTGAACAGAGAGCAATTAATTAAGTGTGTTCATGTGTCTGAAGAGCGGTGACATCAGCTCAGGCTGTGATCTTATGCTCTGCCCTGTCTTGTCGTGGCAATGCCATTCAACGCTGACCCTTGAAGGTGCCAGCTGGTGTGTGGACCGTGATAGGCTAAAGTATTCTGCAGGCACACGCAACCTGCATGAAAGGCAGCGTGTTAGAGCCAATGGTAACTTAATTGCCGAGAAACGAATGCTAAGGTAAGGTGGTTTAGACCTCCGAATTTCCGGTTTCTACGGTTAGGAAACATTTTCAAATACTGAGGTATTATCTGTATTTATTGAGTCTGGCAGACTAGGCCACACACCAAAATACGACACCACCCCTATCCTCACATTGCCCTTACCGACGGGCTGGTATGATGATTCACTTTAGCTTATTTTGGACTGCATGCAGTGAGTGTGGGAGCCAAATAATGCCCAACGAGTAGCTCCAACTTGCCATTGGATCAGGCAATCATTTTCTCTCTCCTGGCATCCAACACATCATAACACTGACCGTGGATTTACTGACTTCTCTGTACTCCTTATACACGTACGGAGTACCTCTATGGCTCCCACGCAGGTTTAATTGTTTCGGTTTTAGAGTGGTTTCCGAAATCGGCTAAAGCATTTCTCCATATGCATGTAATTTGCGCCACTGTCTGCCACTCATGTCGAAATTGACCGCCATGTGCGAATCCGATTATTTGTGACGCAGATGACGACTTTCTCACGAAGCTCTTTCAATCGCCATATTCACTAATGTCTCTGACTGCGAATCTATAAGGGTTGAATTCATATATTTCTCCATCACAAAGTCTCGAGTTAGTTCCTGCGGTTTTCGCTTATGGTGTGATGCTATCGGACGAAATATGCTATACACTCTCCGTATAAGCCAGTCATAAGCGCATCGGTATCTCGTACCTCGTGATTCACCCATAAAGAGGAAATTCTTTCGAGCTTGAGCTGTGCTTGAGAGTGTGTCTGATGAGTTGTTTCAATGTGGTTTTCATCAGGTAACCAGGTTGCCGAAATCGCGTGTAGCTGACCAAATGAAGGGCACCATGCATCCAATATAAGCAACTAAAGCAAACAGTAGATGCATATGTTGTAGGGCATTGGTGTTTCCAGTGCAAACAAATCAAATGACAACAAGAGATGCCAAATTGAACTAATTGTAGGCCCCAAACTTAGGCAACGTTGCCTCAATTCCTTTTATGAAATAGGATTGAGGTCCCAGTGGAAGTTTTATTGCGTCCCTACAATTCAATCCTTGGTCGGTTGCTAGAGGGACCGTTCACTTTCATGGGTTCTGAGCCACGAACCCCACTAACTTCCACAAGTGGAGATGGCACGTTTCCGCGCAGAAGTACTAGGCGCGATAAGCGCCATGTCCTTGTTTCAACTTAGCGCGCATAAATCAACGACCTGTGGGGACCTTAAATATAGATCTTATGTCACGATGTTCCGCATCAATGCCGAATCTTACAAGCAGAGATTCAGTTTAGTGTCAGACAAGCAAAAACAATATAGTACATTAACGTACAATTCATCTCCTCTTAGTTAGATCCCTCAATTGACTCATCAGATCGAGGCAATCGTGCCGCTCGGACGGGAGTACCAGCCACATCGATCGTCTTTTTCTCCCGCTCACTTCTTGTTCGGTTGATCAGCTCCATGCCGAGAATACCGCTCAAAATTCCGCACAAATGCGATGCGATGTCAATCTTCAACTTGACCGTCTTACCAAAGGCAGCAAGTTGAGGAACGCATATGAGCGCCAGGAAAATGATGCCCGGCACACCGTCTTGGGGTAGCCCAAAGAATCTGTAGCCATCAAGACGATGCTCCCAGAAGTATGCGGCGCAAACACCCAGCGTCGCTGCCGAGGCGCCCAAAGTTGTAACGCCTAGCATGCCTCGCATAGCATATGTAGCCACACTGCCCACAAAGCCGACCGCACCGCAGCCCACATAGAGGGTAAGCAAATTGGCTCGGCCAATATCCTCATGTAGTGCGGATCCAACGAGAAAGAGGGGAACCATGTTCATGAGCAGGTGGCTAAAATACTGGTGAGAGAAGGGTGCAGTGAACATGGAAACTGGCTTAACAGCACCGACAGCGATGATCATGTAGCGGTTAAGTAACCTCCACAGAGGAGGGGCCTTCCATGCTGCCCAGACAAGCACGTTGACAGCAACAATGGCTCCCAGTGTCGCATGTGCAGTAGAGATATCGGGAAAGACACGGTACCGGGGAGCAGGTTCTTCATAAACGGTGCTTACAGCAGCTAGGAAGCCAATGACGAGAGCAACGAGAGTAGCGGAGGGAAGAACCCGCTCCCAGGTCTTGAGTTCTACAGGAGCTTCTAGGTCAGACTGTGCCTTCTTATAGTATTCAGCAATCTTGGGGTTAGCGATCTGTCTCTCCGCTTTGTGGTCGAGATTAGCCAGAGTGCCAGAGTTTACCTCCCCTTTCGCCTCCGCTGCCTTCCGTGCTTCTGCCTCGAGGGCTTCCCTCGCCTTCCGCTTTGCGACATTCTGAGCCCGGAGTTCGTCAAGTTTGCTGTGGCCATACACGGGGTCTGGTTTATAAACTGGAGTAGATGGCTCAGCGGTTGCAGTTTCGGCCTCGTCCTTGTTCTTCTTGGAAGCTTGCTTCGGCTTCTTGGCTGCTTCCTTCTCCGCTTCAAGTTGTGCAAGCTCATCCTCAGCTCGGAGGCCCGCGTTCAGCACTTCATCAACCTTTACTGATTTTCGTAGGTACTCGAGGCCCTTGGCAATCTGACCCTTGGTGTATGAAGATGTATGGACCGAAAAGGCTGGATCGTCGAGAGTCCCAGCAACCCGACGTCCGTGGAGGATTCGCAGCAGTTGGTTCGCTCTTTTCGGATTGATGCCCCTTCCGAACACTTTCACAACCTCTGAATCGCTTAGGTCCTTACTTCCGAACTGAAGTCCGACCTGGTCTCGGTAGTCTCTCGGCAAGTCCTCGTAGTTTCGGATCGTCTTATCGAAGAATATCGTTCGTCGGGTCTCGTACGAGTTATTGTTGTTCCTAAAAACGGTACTTCGACAACAAGTGGACGACGGTATAAGGCCGCTTCGATTCCTTGACGCATAGCTTGAAATCCATCGGGCTGGCGCAAACGGCTGGGCCGCAGAGACTGATGCCTTTGATACTGCTCTTTGGAGAGCAGACCTTAGCAGCACCCTCGAAGAATTGGGGCAGGCGAATAGACTCATTGTGAATGAATGATTGAATGCGCAAGATGCACCCTAGAGAGCCACCGGCTCGAATAAAACCACAGCAGCCACGGCGAGGGGAACAGTCGATGGATTGATGGTGTCTCTTAGTGCATGAATTAATCTTGGACGCATGAGGCCGATAATTTTGGTCACAGCATGTCAAGGATCATCAACTCTAAGGTACGTACTCCGTACCGCCACTACACAGGACGTTTAGAAGCTTGGACCCCACCATTATTCAACTGCCCCGCGGATCTCTTGAAGCTCCCTAACCACCATTACATCCATATCCTACACGTCCCCAACTACACCTCTTCACGCGGCCCTCGTCATATTTGATCATGTCTTCCACGTCCACATCCGCCGACACCACACCAATCGCCCCCGCACGGTTCGCCGCCGCCCTCAAGGACCTTTCGGTGGGCATGCTACACCTCAAAGTCCTTGAAATCCGCAATTCGATCGCCCATCTTCAGTACTCCAACGACCAGCTCAAGCCATTTGCAGAGGGCACAGAGACCACACCGTCCGGTGAATCCTCGGGGCCCGACCAGGAGTGCATCGATGCTATTCGCGAGAACGAACAAGTCATTGATCGCATGGCTGAGCGCATAGCTCTGATCCGTGCAGAGGTGGAAGAGCGTGGACTAGGCTGGACGGAATTCCAGAACCGGGATGAGACAACTAGTAAGAACGATGAAGACGCGGCTGCTGTCAATGGAGATACTCAAGCTAGTACCGCGGCATCTGGCAACGAGAATCGACACGATGCGTGGAACGATGGGACTTTTCAGACGGGGACAATTCGAAACGGCGAGGTGCAGGTGGATCGTCAGGCCGGTCGGCCAGAGGGTGGAAGTCTGAGCGACGAGCAGCTTCGCAGGGCACTAGAGGAACGAATACGAGACTTAGGTACAGACGACAATGAAGGAGGCATGCACCTTTGAGATTGGGAGGCGGAAGAAACATGAGGGAAAAACTACAGCACGGCCGGCGTTTGTGAGATGGAAGGAAATGACAGCATGATACCTGATACCTACAAGGCCGATATGCATAATCGTTCAATCATAGGGAATAGTTAAAATCGGTTCGGCCTTCACTAGGTCGCAGTTCACAGACAAGGAAGTAGGGTCTTTTTGTTAAAACCAATTTTGCTATTTTTCGATCTCAGCTGGTGTTTTGCTGAGGACTTCTGCTTTTAAGGCTGCGTAGTGAAGCCGCAGTGTTATTTATACGTCATTCGACAGTTTGAAAGCACGTCTCGCCGCCGGCCTTTTGGTGCTTCAAAAACCAAGACAAAGAAAAGATAAATCATGTAACCTGCTCCGACGCCCAAGTGCTATGCCGCCCAATGCTAAACCAAAACCGGTCCCATATAAATGCTTATAAAACAAGTGAAACAACATGAGCTGAAACAATGTACTGGAGAAGACGGTGAAGATAACGATGCTAAAGGATACCAAGACATGTGAAACGGAGAAGAGACAAGACCGCAATGAGTTAGGTCGCAAGAGTGAAACGGTCTTGAAGAGGTAATGAGGACGTGGGGTTGTCGTATCTTCTGCGCTGTGGCTTGAGCGCTTGTTTCACGCGAATCCGACTCAGTCAGTGTCGTCACCAACAGGGGAGGCAGCACCTGAAAGCCTCTTGGATCGAGTGGACTTTTGTCGCTTAGATCGCTTCGAGGACATCCGGGTGGCAGTCGCAGACCTTGTGCTCATGATAGTCTCGAGCTTTGGTCGTTGCGCGGCATGTCCCGCACTCGAGGGTGTTCGGCGGGTTCCCGGGTTCATAGCACTTTGCGAGAATGGAATTGGCGTGTCAGAATCTGAATCATCAGAAGAATCGTATCCTGGCGGTGCGGCAACCGGTCGCAGGCGTGTCTTTCGCTTGGCGAAGCCACTATCGAGCGAGTCGTCTGATGTGTCGAATGAAAGGCTTCGAGTTCGGTGGACAGAGAGAGACTGGCTGGTGCGGTTGAGGAAGAGGGATTCGATGAGTTCGGTTTCGGTAGGATTGCTGTTTTCCTTCTTCAGCTTCTCCATGACAAGCTTCTCGTGAACAAGTCGGCCAAGTTGCATATCGTCTCCAACCAATGTCCTGCCGCTCGATTTGCTCCCTGAGCTTCCGGCCCGGCTAACAGGCACCTTGCCTTCCATGACCTTGGCTGGCGGTGGAGGCTGCAGCATCCATTGATGGGCATTTCGCGAAGGAATCTTGCTGCTGACGACGGGAGGGTGGTACTCGTTGATGGGAGGATTCTTCGGAAAGTAAAAGTCGTGCCGTTGCTGTTCTGTTACCTCCTTTTCGAGTCCGAGTGTAGACTCGATTAATCGACCGGCAGAATCTCGTGCTTTTGATATGGCGTCCTTGAACTTTTGGCCGCCCCATTGGCCCCATAGCTCCTCATCCTCTCGCTGATATCCATGTCGCCGGTTCCAATCGTCGGAGAGATTGTCGTCCTCCGCAATGACGGAATTGCTAGCGCCAAAGTTGATGCGGCTCCCTCCTTGATGTGTCTGCTCAGATACGCTGAATGCACTGCTCTCTCCGCCCTGACTTGTGAGGCCACGCTGACTAGAATTCTTGCTGGCAGATTTCTTTTGTGGTAAAGATGGTCCCATACTAATCTCCTCTTGCCAATACGGGTTTGTACTAAACGGTGAGGGATGTTGGTATACATCAGGTTGCTCGCCCACTACCTTGGCCTTCTCCTCGCGCTCCTTCCGAGACTGTTCACGAACCTTTTGCCGATGTCGAACTTGGGCGCATGGCGTGCAGGCAAGAATATAGAAGACAGCGGATTGAATTGCGACGGGAAGAGACATGTTGGTGGCCGTCGCTTTGTATACAGTGTACCGGGCATAAGAGTTGCTTCGCTTGGCCGGCTTTCAACTGGGATGATGCGTATGAAACGACGAGCACGATTATATGAAGAGAACAATGGACAGAGGAAGACGATTGTTACACCAAAAGACACGGAGACATAAAGCAAGGGAGCGGAGAGAAAGGGGTCCAGCCCAAGAATGAGCAGATTGATAGTCGAAGCCGACGAGGATGCCGATGCCGAAGGGTGGACAGCCGAATTGAGAAGGAAAACGAGTAAGGCTGAAAGCAAGAATTGGTGAGGGTGAGGAGGACTCTGGTGTAAATGAGGTTGGACTTGGCGAGATAGATGGTGGTCGTTCTTTTTTTGGGCGCAAGAGGCGCTGCGCCTGTACTGACTAGGCCAACGCCAGCAGTGGCCAGAACGGTGCGCAAAGGGGAATAGAGCGCAACGTAGCGCAACACAATGGCCAAATGGCAAAGAATGTAGGTATGTGAAAGTAGAAACGCTTCGTCTTTGCTTGAAGGTGGCCGTAAAGCTGAAACCGAAGGGGCCGGTCGTTGGAGGTTAAGTTCGTAAGAGGCGTTCCTGAGCGACCGGAGACGTTTGCTGTTTGGGGCTTATTGCTCTGGTGCTCTGCCGATCCCAGTGAGTGAGTGAGCGAGAGAGACAGACGCCAACTTGGCTAACGAGTCCCCCCTTTGGAAAAGGACCCCTTTGGTCCTAAAAGTTGAAGGACAGGAATGTGAGAGAATGAGAATGAGAATGAGAATGAGAACGCAATTCTGTCAACCAAAACAAGTGACAGCTAGCCCTGGAGCTCGTTCCCTTTCCCTTTGTCTCTCTGTTTTAGGGGAGTGATCGACCGACTACCAAGGGTATCGTGGGTGATAAAAGGGGCGCGAGACGACGTTTCACAGAGAGTTGAGGCGGGCACTAGACACTGTAGATAAAACGGGGTGGTCACTGGGTTTTTGTCTAGGTAGGTGGGTAGGGGATTGCACAGGGCACTCAATGGGCACAGATGATAGTGCGGGTTAGTAAAGAGGCTGAGATGGAAAACGGAATGGGTCGACCGTATAACGAGATAACGAGATATGAACGACCAGAGAGTGAAATACGGTCTGAGGGAGCCAGAGCTAGGAAGGAAGGTTCCCCAATCTCATATATTTGTGGGTAACGCAGGGTTTATGACGACGACTGCTGCTGTCGCGGCCCGTCAGGTCAGGTCCGTACGGGATCGGACTTGGTGGGAGGACAGGACAGGAGACGAGGGTTCTTTTAGGGTGGCGGCGGTGATGGACTAAAGAGGTGCTATAGTAACCAAGTCCTAGACCGACTACAAACGAGGTACGATAATACGGACGGATACAGCGTCGACGACCAGTTGGAAATGGCGCAGGCTGGTCGTATGCAGATGAATAGATGAGGTAGGTAGCCTGGATTAGTTGCAGAAGGCCACAGCTGCAGCACGCTACAGTTCTTTGCGGTAAACGTCAAGGATTTGGTCGACGATAAAATGGGGGGCAGGCTGGTAATTAAAGATCCAGGGGAAATGGAGAGGAGTTGTATTGGCAGAGTCAGCCGAGCCAAGACGACAGCATACTACCAAACTATGCAACCCAGCCAGGATCAGAAGAACATTGCCATGCACAATAAGCCCAATTCATTGATTCAAGGTCTTCGGGGTGAAGCCATTTACCATGTTGAATATCTAGTTGTTTCTGTTTCTGTATCAAGGAGACCGGGGGGGAAGAGGCGCACCCATCTCATCGAATACCACATGGATCACCGCCAAACGTGCAGGGGGCAAAGACACAAGGGACCTCCAGCATATGCTCAAGTCCACCAATGATCCAGGTACCAACCTAGAGTCGAGCAGTCGAGGTCTTCCTGTCCTCCGCTACTACATAATAATCCCCCGCTTGGTCGGAGCTGGGTGGGGAACGTACTAATGGACGAGCATGGGTGCAGGAAAGGCATGGATGGATCGAGCGAGCGGGTGCAGCGGCCTGGACCATCTGAGACTTCTTCAGTGCAGGGGGGTTGGGGCTGTTGAAATGATTGGGGAATTCAGAGAGAGGAGTTGTTCTCGGCATCAGCATCTCTGGCTTGGACGGGTAATGTCTACCTACTACGGAGTACTGTACATATCAAGTTGAGGGCCGAATCGTGACGCCCGGTCCAGCAGACTGGGCAGAATTGCTTTACCACAAGCCCAATCAATCAATTACTTGCCGATGCTACCTCTGATGCCATCATTGTCTATCGTAATCAGTCTATAAATGTCCCAATGCAACATCCGGTCTCAGACGGGATCTCCCATTTGTTTGTTTTAGCTGATAACTTGAAGCAATGCACGAAACTCTCGACCGCCAGCCAAGCCACCGTTGCGCGGTAAAAACAAACTACGCTATGTTCTAACTTTTACGCCGAGCAACGTAGCACCGTACCGTACTCTGCAGGTTCGCAGAGTTTAACTAGGGTAGTTAAACTAGGTAATTCGTGACGTCTTTGGTGTTGGTTCTTGACCGCGAAATTCACATCAGTTCAGGCTACCTAGTAGTTGTCTATGACTGGTCCACTCTCAGATAACAACAACTCTCTCACTTGAGACTCAGTAATCCTTGCCAATACCTACATACAGTGGTGTACCACTGCACTACTCCGTAAACTAGCAGCAGATCTGTGTATACGACGTCTTTGTGACAGTTATAAACTACTTAAGTAAGTACTATGTAGTTTGATCAGATAATTTAACGAAAATGTAATTAATTGCCTTCCATACGTTGCCCGATCCCGCAAAGTCAGGAAACGCCTGATAATGAATGATAAGGTCTGCCACATAAATAACTCAAAATGTCTGCAAAATGTCTGCAAAGTTGCCGGCTCTTCCACCCGTGTTCTCTTGTCTTTCGTCATGGATAGATACACTTGGCTTGCTTCCTCATCCCGCAACTGCACGTCGTGCCCCCGCAGCTCGCTTCCGTCTTCCGGCTCGGCCCCCTCATTCTCTTCCTCTCTCTTCGGCCCAATTCTTGCGTTTTCCCCTCTCCACCCGGCTTGGCATCTCCGAACACGATTATGAGCAGACCTATCACGGCGAGAATCGATTCACACCCCAATTCTCTCACCACACTGAACACCATAACATACAGGAATATGCTCGCTTGCAGATACTAGATACAAGTAGTATCTAATTCACACTATCTGCTAACATATGTAAGATGCAACGGCCCAGGTCTGGCGTGCCCTGTAAGTCGATACTATGTAGTAACTTGGTAAATTAGTCCCTGGTCATTCCAATGTACATCCGACAATGCACTATGTAGTATATAGTCGTCTTCAATATGCACGCTACACGCCGCAACATATGTAATGGCCATGCATGGGCCGCATGAAGCGGTGAACAAAGCAGAGCATTCGTGTGATCAGGAAAAGACATATTTGTGTTGAAGGGTGCCATTCTCAATGCCATTGGCTAGGGTGCCTAAGCTGGAGTTGATACAAGCTATCAAATCTAGACTCGATCCCTTACCTCGAACTTCTCTTGTTCAAGAAGCGCCTTGCATTCCACATTCCTCGGGGCACGACTACTCCATACCTACTAGACATGTTATGACCTGGCTAGCTTGGGTAAGATTCAACGCATGGATCCTAACTCCCCGAACTAGTTTCCCTTACCTCAACTTGCAACTCCCAGAGATCGCGGAGAGTTCAAGGGAACACGTGGACTTTACCCAATTTACCTTCATAGACACCACTTCAAGTACTTGAGTCGTAGCTGATGATGCTTCATTTGGCTTCTTATTTGGACCGACAAACTGTCGCAAACAATCGATTCGACTATCAATACACTTCCCAATTTTCTTCCAAATACTGGCCTTGCATCATCCACCAATGCAGTCATTAACCGCAGGCTTTTCTTTTTCCACGGCCAACATGAACCCTTGCTTTTTGTCCATGAATGTGAACTGCTTCCGTCGGTGTTTTCTTTCAATGGCCACCTTTGGAATGGCCAGCCTCGCCTCGTCGAAAATTTGACCGTAAACCCTGAACTCCCAACCGCAAACGCTTGTGCTGTCGCACTCCATCAACGTCTTGGCACGTGTTCGGACGGCACACTGCCCCGTGATCCAAATTATGGCAGAAATTCGTTGGTGGAAAGGAAAATGAAATAGTCAAGTTACAGACAAGTGACAAGGAAAGTGTAATGGCATGCCTCAGAGACACGCAATGCATCCACCTGGGGCTGCTCCTCTTAAACATCCCATTCTTCTTCCTCCTCTTCTTCAGCAGCATCGCCCTTAGTAGTCAATGCCGAGAAAGATCCAAATGACTGAGAAGGCTGGGAAGCCTTGTTAGGCCCGGTGGGTTGCTTGGGTTGGACGGCGGGGCGGGCCGCAGCCTCGTCGCCAGATCCAACTGAAGTGGCATTCTTAGCACCCTTCTTAGACTTGGTCTTGACAGTGCTCCAGTCATCATCGTTCTGGAGGAGCTGGATCTGCTCCTCTTCAGAAGGTAGAGACTCCATCCACTTGCGGTCGGTACTCTTGGGGGCATTGACGGCAGAAGCGGGAGCTTCCTCGTATGTGTCGAGTGGCTGATGAAATCCATTCGTCTGGGCAGCCTCGGGGGCCTTGGGAGCTCCCTCCTTCCAAGCGGATGACTTGCCCTGGGCAGCAGTGAACTGGGAGCCGTCCTTAGCAGCGCGTCCCTCAGCAATGCGAGCGGCGCGGCGTTGCTTCTCCTCGAGAAGCTTTCGCTCCTTCTCGGATTCCTCACGGGCTGCTTTGGCCGCCTCGGCCTTCTTACGGTTCTGGCGCTGCTTCTTGGTCTCAACAGGAGCTTCCACCTTGGGGGTCTTTTTGTTCTGTTTTTTGGGCTCGGTGTCGGTGAGACGAAGAACGGTTGGGCGAGTAGGAGCGGTCTCGAGCATGTCGGAAACATCGCCTGCGACTGCGACTGCGGGACCGACCTCAGGTGAGGTTACAGGGGATTGATCATCATCGCCATCGGCACCAGTGGTAGATGACGGAGCCGACCCCTTCTCCTCGGCGGCGCTGGCCACCTTATTGGCGCGGGACTGTTTGACAGACTTCTCTCGCTGCTTGCCAGCATCAGACTTGGCAGCAAACTTGGTGCCTTCCTTGGCCTTTGCCAATTGCCGGGCAAATTCGCGATTGTCGACATTGTCATCTTTGTCCTTCGCACTACCAGTCCAAGCACTGGTCTCTGATTCAACCTTGGGCTTCTTGGAAGCCTCCTGTGCCTCTGATGCAAAGGCCTCCTGGCGCTGCTTCTTCTTGCGGTCTTCCTTACGAGTCTCCGCCTGCGAGCTCTTGGCCGGCTTGATCTGAGCCCGTGGTTGACTTCCAGTTCGCTGGCCTTGAGATAGTTGGTATATAACGTAGGCAACGGCAAAGAGCAGGGCGTAGCCTGCAGTGGTGTAGAGATAGCCCATGTTATTCGCCGTGATATGGTTTATGGGGTGTCGTAGTTGTAGGGGGTGTAAGGCTGAGCGAAGTTGCCTCGAGATTCGTTTCGAGCTTCGGGATGAAGATCGTGGTTCTATCCCAAGTTAAGCGAAACGGGCCTGGGAACTCGAGCACGTCTATCGGTTAACGACAGTTGGCCTCTTGGTCTAACAAACCAAAGCGGGTGGAAGCAACGGCTGCGTACAAAAAGAAGTTGGGGACGAAGCGTGGTTGTGAGATCGAGCCAAGGTAGGGGCAGCTAAGCTGTCGCAATTATAAGGCCAGATTGTCCTAAGCTATGAGCCAGCCAATCGCTGAGCCGTGAGAGCGTCGATAGTCGTGGGCGAAGAGTTAGGGGGTATAAAAGATAGGGAAAATGAAAGGTCGATAATGTGAATAGATGAGGAAAGGGGTGAGAAACGACGGAAGCCGGTTCAAAAGAAGATTGATGAGTCTGGCGCAATCACACAGAAGGAGAAGACACCAGGTGGCTTGAAGTTAAGTCAACCAGTCGTTTTTGGGCTACCTGAGGCGAGGAAGGGTCGCGGGATTGACTGAATTGGTTCCGACTGCAGGGGAGGTAGAGTAATGTTTGGACAGAAAGCACCCGACGCCAAGGCAGTGGGGAGCTTGGGGTTTCGGAGTGGGGAGAAAAGGTAGCCCGTGGGCAGATTATGGTGACGAGGTACTTTGACAGGAGAGATTTGGATCGAAACTGATGCAGCCACTGTGCAGTACTAACTTTTACGGAGAGGCTTTCGATAGGTACCTACCTATAGTAGTCAGCAACTACCCGTGCTTGCCGTGTTACACGAAGTAAACAGGAAGAGATGACTACCTATATTTTCTGGGACATTTGTGATTTATCTGTCAAGTTTTGTTGGGAAAAGGCAGTCGGAGCGGGACTTCGTCAGGTCTCGAAAAGGGAGAATGGACTGGAAGTCTATACATTGGATCCAGCAGAGCTTGGATTCGCTCCTTCCGACCAACTTCCTGCTGAGGTTGATGAGACGAAGGCTCAGGTATCTACCTGCCTACCTGCCTTATATAATACCGGAGCCGCCCATTACAACTTACCAAGGTAAACCAGGGGTTCCAGTGTCTTCGAGGCATCCAACCTAGGTAATGGACGTTATACCTGGGATTGTCTCATTACCACTAAAGGCCTGCTTCGATCCTCAATTCCAGTGAGAGGTTTATCACGAGGCATGGACTTTGTTAGATGATTCAACAGTGAATCACAGCATGCCCTTTTCCTAGTGTGTTACAAAATAAATATCTGCGAAGGCCCTTGCTGAAGTCGCTGTGCCAGTTTCGAATATACATATTGTTGTCACGTGTGTATATGGTCTGGGAGACTGCTCTTTGAAGATCAGGGAAGCATATGATTAATTAAGGAGAGCAAATCGTTTTTCATTGGTCTGACATACGTGGCTGGGAGAACAAGTTAATCATGAGTCACTGACACCTCAGTTGCTTGGAGGGTACATCACGATTTCTTTCTGCTAGGTACCTAGGTAGGTATCCCTGAAGTCTTGAACTCTTGCTTTGGAGTTATTTGATTGGCTGTCGGAGAGACTTTTTAGGTTGCACATGCTTCATGCCATCTGCAACTCAAATTGCACTACCCTGCGTCAGGCTCGGATCTCGCAAGTATTCCAACTCTGACATCCACCTCTGTAAGAACGGCGTTTGCATGTACTATCGTGTAGGTGCGACAGGAACCCAACAGAATTAATGCCCATTCATATCTCACTTGATTGAACAGCCAATAGCTCTTGTGAAAAGCTTATCTCAGCAACTAACACTACACCCCACCTGTCCACCTGCCCAAAACCGAAGGAGGGGAAACGCTCATCGGCATAAGTTAACATGTGTGAACAAGAACTTTGATCCTCCTGTTTTCAACCTGCAATATTTCAATTTTAAGCTGCAAGTAAAGAATTTGACTCCTGGGCTACAGGGCTGTGAGAATAAAACCAGGGCTGATTAGATTCCTCTGCAGTATATCATTTTAAAGTGGTTCAACAACCTTGACCTCCTCATCTAAGTCGCCACTGGTTTTTCTGGACATATCCTCCAAATTCAAAAAATGGCTCCTAAGCAGAAGATCATCATCGATACCGATCCAGGTAACTGTCATGTGCTTTGAGGCTGGAGCACCAAAATTCTAATATTCCAAGGCGTCGATGATATCCTGGCTCTGCTTCTTGCACTCAGTGCCAAACCGGAGGAGCTTGAGGTTCTTATGGTGTCCGTCACATACGGCAATGTTCCCCTCCAAAGGTAAATACACTTATGAATTCTGTTCACTATCATGGGCCTACACTAAAGACCCCCTCAGCTGTCTCCGAAACGTTGTTTCTCTCTTCCACGTGCTTGGGAAAGAACTTGAGTGGAGGAAGTCCACTGGCAAACCCGAAGGCTTTGGAGCCATGAAGGCGAACAAGCCCATCGTGGCTGTTGGTCCCGACCACCCCCTTTGCGACGAGGAGCTGATGGCGGATTACTTCCGTAAGTTCAGTAGCTGCACTGGTCATCAGTTCGTCCCCCTTACTAATACGTGGATTTCTGTAGACGGCATCGACGGCTTGCATAATGTTCATGAGGCTCATCCTGATTTGTCTCCTGCTGAAACCTGGAAAGGCATTTTCAGTGATGGCGCCAATGAAGCCGGAGACTATTCTCCTTTCTTCACGCCATCCAAGGCGCCCTCTCACCATGAGATTCTCCGCATCCTTAAAGAGAATCCCGTGGACACTGTCTCCATCCTTGCTGTTGGTCCTCTTACCAATGCTGCCCTAGCAGCCGCAGAAGATCCCGAGACTTTCCTTCGCGTGAAGGAGCTTGTCGTCATGGGCGGTGCTGTAAATGTCGAGGGAAACTGTACTCCTGTGGCTGAATTCAACTGCTACGCCGATGCTGTCGCTGCTGCTCGGGTTTACGCACTCACATCCCCCAGACCGAGCTCCACGATGCCGACCATTCCCCAGGAGCTTTCAACTTTGAAAGCTTACCCAAACAAACTTTCCCGCCAGCTTAAGCTCACACTCTGCCCCCTCGATATTACTACCCCTCACTTGATTGGCAAGAACTACTTCAAGGAGAACATCCAGGCTCACGTCGAAGCTGGCAGCCCCCTTGCCCGATGGGTGTCACACTTTGTCACTAAATCCTTCAGCAAGATCGAGGATATGGAGGGGGATGAAAACGAGCCCGGTCTTTCGTTGCACGACCCCCTGACGGTATGGTATATGCTGACCCGAGATGATCCTAAGTGGAAGACACCCGAGAAACTGGAGGACATCCGTGTGGAAACCAGCGGTCAATGGACACATGGAATGCATGTCGTTGATCGTCGATTCAGAAAGAAGCCTGCCGAAGCCGCAGTCGCCCTTTCAGAAAACCCTAACGAGGACCCCCATATCTTGACTCTCGATGAGGTCCCTGGCGACGACCACGGTTGGCTGAGTGTTCTCAAGGGTAACCGCCTTAACCGTGTGATCGACTCTCCAGGACATGACATCTTCAAGGAAGTGCTCATGCAGCGCATCTTTGGATAGAGTCCAGGTTGTCGATATTGCGTCAGCTTAAATAGTCAAATGAAGTATCTCCAATTGTTGAAAGCATGTACCGTGGCAAAGGCCAAGATGAATTGTCTAAACTCCCTGAACTCGAACGCCTTGTGATCCTATCGATGCCGTGTGAAAGAAGCTTCCCAAACCTCCAGCCGTGGATGCTGTACCCCAAACATAATAACACAAGATAAAATGTCGCAGTACGGACCGCTTTCCGATGTTTCGAGTGCGTAGTCTATACGTGCTTTATACCGCCGATTGCTGAACCCTTGACTTCTGTCCAGTTGATGCTGTCGTCAAGCGCCTCATCTACGAGGCCGATTGAGCATACATTGTCGCCACGGACGAGGTATAGACCCAAGGGCACTTGAGCGGAAGGCTCAGGATCGTCGGGCGTTCGGATAATTCGTTCTAAGGCGTTGTTCAAGACCTAGGCACATGCCATAAGCGTTTGTATGGTCAAGACAAGTAGGAGGGCACGCACCAGATTAGTCGTTTGGTCGCACGCTGCCAGAGTTCCGACAAGAATACGCGAATCGGCTGTAACGATGAGGACTTTCTCTGCGGTCTGTATTAGCAAGCTGTTGATGCTTCTTAGGCAGTAGAGCTTGGGAAGGGTGTCGTACTGTTGAGATATCCACCGAGTGTAGCCATGACGTCCGAATCTCCTCAGTGATATCGTGCTTGAATTCTGAATGTGTTATTCAAGGATATTGGCTAGCTATAGAGGTCGAAGCGCGTTGAAGAGAATTACTGGACTTGTTCAGTGGGTATCAGCTGAAGCTGTTTCGACAGTCAATGTGGGTGACTGCGGTGGACTTTTTGGAGGAGCTTCCAGAGGATAGGCACTAGACCTAATCGGGACTGCTTCTACGACAAAAGCCACCCGACGGCAAAGTTGCGATGCTGAGTATTGGCGGTGCCTGAATATGGGGTGCTTGTCACGGTTTTTAATGCTTGATGTTAGGCTGTGTGTCTCTCCTTTACTATCCAATCTAACTTGGTCGATTTGAGCACCACTTTGCTTCCAAGGAACAAACCTACTACTTTGGATTTCATGGGAGCAGCAACCTCTGTCTATTCTGGATACCTTCGCTAGGTACCCTTACCCTAGGAAGCCTTGTAGAAATCGATGAATACAAAAGCCGTAGGAAACCGCAACACAAGCAAGATGGATGGATACCCAAGAGTATGGGAGCATCGTTCACCACCGGAGCCATTCCTTACCAACATAGAGAAAAATAATGTTTGGGCAATATCTCTTGCGATAGCCTGTCATTCTAGTGCACAAGAATCCGAAACATCATGTACCACCAAGCGTCCATCTCATGTATTGTAGCGTCACGAAAAAGTGTCTTCTTCACTACCCAGGACAAGCCCGAGCAAGCAATGAAAAACCGAGCCCATGTAGTGTTCGCGTCACCTGGAGGCAGTGTAATACCAGGGACACTGTGGGCAGAATCATGTGCAAGCACAGAGGAAACTGCCCGAAAGCCAAAAATAGGAATAATCACGATTGATGTCCTTAGACATCTTTCAGAGATTAAACTGAAAAGAACAGATACTACACTTGATCTAAGCCAAAAGGCAAAGAGAGCTAAAGAGAAAAGGAAAAGAAAAAAGCGAAGCTTGACCGGGACGCGACGAGATTTTATAGAGCAGGCTAAAGGCGGTGAGTAGATTGGCAGAATTTCTGGGTAAGCCTGAGGTTCTACATTCAGTTTGTTTAGGTACCCAGGTATTCAGTGCAGCGCAGGCAGCAAGCGAGCACTTGGGTCGGGGACGAAGAATGACTGAGGCAGCTACGTGCACGGCAAGGTTGACAGAATCTTGAAATAATAATGGGTTCAAACCTACTAAGGTAAGGAAGAGAACTGGCAGTGGAGGTATTAGAAGCTCGGAGGTTCTTGGCATCTCTGAAGGGTGTAGTACGAAATGTCCTGAAGGATTTTATCTTATATTTACTTTTATCATGATAATAAAAAAGAAGAAATGGACTGGCAACGAACTCGGTAGATAATGAAATATATGGAATCTGGAAAATACAGATATTCACGATACACGGGCCAAGGGAAGCTGTGGACCGATTCAATATACCAACAGCACCCGCGACCACTCGTGGTTCTTGATCCATCTACAAGAGCACGCAACACCTAATATACAGGAGATGCAAGTGCTCTTCTTAGCCACAAACACGAGGCAACATGCATGATTTCTTTTCAATTCTGTACTTGAATTGGCATCGTCTACCGCTATCTAACAACCTCCCCCGAGATATATCCTCGATCATGAGCTAAAACTAAGTGCAGTAGCAGAGCATGTCTACCACCTACATCCAAACGCCGTACCCTTGGAGCATCCTCCCGAATGCTTACCTTCTCAGCCAGATCCAGCCTTTGTTATGCGTGATTATCCATCAATATTCTCATGTAAGCGGGTGTTACTCACGAACTCATGGAAACCTATAACGCCTCTTTGTCCCGTACTCTACAAATAGTGCATTGTTGTATTGTGTTGCATACAAAACACAACGCTGGTATCAATCTTCAACTAGTTCTCCCTCTTCATCTTCCGAGAGCTTAGCTCGTTTCTCCGCTCTGTCACTCTGTTCCTCGCCATCGTCAGGCTCTCTTCGCTTGAGTGGTGACCTGGGAGGTCTTCCGTTCTCGTCGTGCCGAGGCTGAGAACCCTCATCTCTCTCCGGGTCTCGCCCTTCACCATCCTGAGCAGCGCCGTTGACTCTGGAGTTCACACCAGGGCTGCGACTCGCCCGGTCAACTTCCAAGGGGGTACCAGTCGTTGACGACAATGTGTCTGGTTGGCTCAACAGGGTATCACCGCGTTTTCTGGTGTTCTCGAGATGGAATGCTGGTGATGGCAGCGACGGGTTCTGCTTTCTAAGCGGATTCTCCGTGTAAAACTGGCGCATCACCTCGATAGCATGAGAACAAAGGACCTCGTCACCCTTGAGGAGCTTCCACCAGGGCTCGCCATTGATGTCTTCAATTTGTTGGTTCGCATATATGCTCGCAAAGAAGATGGCGCTGATGGCAACATCTCGAGGTCCTATCAACAGAGGGATCGATGTAAGGCAAGCATCATTGCAAAAAGCCCAGGCCGCTTGTCGTAGATTCTTGTTATGAACTATTCCAAGCTGATCGAGCAACTTGAATAAGTGGTGGTAAGGGTTGTCAACCATCAGATCGAAAGTGAGTTGCTCTAGCATGACCTCTTCGTATGTGAGAATACTGTCTCGCCATCGCCAGTACTCTTTGCTCTGCTCATCAATAATGAGCTTCGAGTTCTTTTGTGCAACCTTGGCTACGGCGATAATGATGTCCTTTGTCTTGCGGCAGTTCTCTTCGGTCTTGTTGGCTAGAAAGAGAGCCGTTGCTGCGATGTTCTTGATTGGAGATGTTAGCATATAGAAAAGAATTGCATGTTGCTCAGTCAAGAACAGTCTTCTACAGCTCCAAAGAGACGTTGGAATTATAAGATCAGGTGGGATAACTCACGTAATGATGAATTCCACCCTTTTCTTGGACCATGTGGCAGCGCATGAAGAACCGATGGAAGAACACTCCAGCTACCCACAGCGTAATCTGAGGAAGATCCAACATGACGCCCGCCTGGTAGATGAAGTTGACGCCCTTGGCCCTGCGCATCCTCTCTTCCGCCGGCGAAAGACCCTCCACTATGCTAGGCGTACTTCGCACTTCGTCCGACGTAAAGTTCCATTGATTAAGAACAGCTACTGGAGTTTGCGCACCGGATCGGGCTGGCGATTCTTGGGCTTGTCGGGCTTGGGGTCGGGGGGGAGATGTTCGTGTCGAGTGCTGCGGAGGAGTTGGAACTGCTGGAGGAACGGCATCACGACGCCGGGGAGATCGTGATCTCGAATCGCGCTCAGGTCGAGGGTTTGCGGGTAGGGTCGGGGGCTGATACCCTTCCCTGGGAGGCCTGTAGCGATCGATGCTCGCCATGGCCGGTGGTCTTGAATCGGGATAACGATACTTGTAGCGCTGATAAGAAAATGGCTCCTAGGAGAGGGTTGCGTGGGTCTGAGAAAGTGGTACCAATGATTAAGGCACGTAGATGCGAAGTTGAAAGTGATGCGAAGTCCAAGTTAGCCGGCACTGCAAGGAACCTGATCTAAGGAAGTTGAGGTTGGCGTTTGACAGCAGGGGCAATAAACTAGAACCAAATCTGGGTAGCGTTATCTAATCACAGCACAGGAGGGTGGACACATGATTCTCCAATGGGTGATAGTAACACCCAACTCAACGGATGAAACAATAGAAACTCCCCACTTTGGATGAATGAGAAAAGGCCCATTTTTGGATGATTGTTGGACTATTGGTGCTTGATTGTTTGTTCATTCTTTGGTTGGCTCTTATTTATTCTGGCTACCTATTATTATGAATTTTTGGGGTATCTCATAGTAGCTTTTGTTTGTCTTGTTCTACCCAGATCTATTCTTCGTCAGTGATGCCCTGACGTTAGACTCCCTCGCCATCATTGCGACCCCATAGTTTGACTGTGCGATCATGGCCTCCACTGACAATCCACTTGCCATCCCTGCTATAGTCGACGCTGGCAACTGGGCCTGTATGGCCGCTGAGCGTCTGCACTAGCGTCCAGTCGTCTGCCGAGAAGATCTTGACATTTCTATCAAAGCCGCTTGACACGAAGAAGGTGCCCGACTTTTTAGCAAGCTGTGCACCCTTTTCATCCACACCAGGTGGAATACCAGTGAGAGGGTCATCGAGACCTTTGAACCAACGCATATCAGAGACAGCACTGGTGTGCGCACCAATACCGCCTGTCCTTTGCACCTTTCGAACATCCCAACACTTGATCCAGCCATCAGCTGAGCCAGATAGTACCCTGTGTCCATCAGAGCTCCAGTCAAGCGCATGGATGGGTTTTATGTGTCCATCCAGATGTCCATCTAGGATCATGACGGTACGTCCGGAACGCAAGTCCCAGATTCTGCCAATGCTGTCCAGACCGGCACTCGCAAGTAAGGATCCGTCAGTGTTAAAACTGACAGCGTAGACACCTCTTGAGTGACCTTCTTGAAGGAGAACCTCTGCGGTTGTTTCGACATCCCAGAGGCGCCACGAAGTATCCTCAGAAGCAGAGGCCAGATAACGTCCAGATGGATGGAACTCGATACGACACACTCGCTGTGAATGTCCTTCAAGTGTGGACAGGGGGGTATCTTGGTTCAGAGACCATAAATGAATCGAGCCCTCAGCACCGCCTGACGCAAGGTTGACGGCGTCAGGGGAAACGTTGTGTTCTGGCAAGGTAGATCCGGGAAACCAAGATAAGCCGCTAATCTTGTTGGTGTGACCGCGGAAGGTTGTCTTTTGGTTCAAGCTTGGTATTTCGACCAGCTTGACTTGCCCACCCCAGTTGCCTACAGCGACCAACTCGCCGTTGGGAGATATGCGAGTCATGCTGACATGACGTTCGCCAACCGTCTGACTGCCCTGGAGCTCAAATGCTTGTAATCGCTCCTTGACTTGTTTGCGAAACTTGACTTGGGTGCGTAGAGGGATCGTAGATTCAGCTTTCTGAAATCGAACCCTCTTCTTGGCTCGCGGCAGAGAGTATTCAGCAAGCTTTAACCGCGCCTGTAGAAGTTCAGGCCCACCTCTTGAGTAGAACTCCTCCTCCTGTTCCTCCTCTTGATCCTGGTCTCCAGCGTCCTCCATCGTAATATCACCATTCTCCAACCCAGTCATCTCTGCTTGGATGGTAAGAAGTTCCCGTAGTCGATCCCGACGATCAACAAGTGCCTCTCCGAATAGCGTGACTGGTTCACCCATCTCCCGAAGCTTCGCGCGGACTCGAGTATCATCGGTAGGGACTGCTATCGTTGCTGCTAGGCGTTTGCGATTGAATTGACTGAGGATTGCGGAAGCCTTTTCAGAAGGAACACCTGTTCCGCCCATTGGAATATCGTAGTCATGATCATCGGGGACATCTTCTAATGCGATTCCTTGAGGCTCGGCGTCCTCGACGTACGCCTGCCGTGATGGGTGCATCATTTTTGCTAGAGATGACCAGACGCAGGTCGATGATAGCTTAGCTTGTGCACGAAGAGTGACGAGTTTGACAATAGTTGTCGTTGTATATAAGAGTTTTTTTTATACTTTTTCTTCTTCTTCGACAGTTGAAATTGAAGATATCGAATTTTGTCAAATCGGGGGCTGATACTATGGTTGCAGCCTCGCTGTTTGGCGCGCGCTCTTGGATTGGTAGATGTGAAATTTCCCAGACGCGACCTTGAAGCTTCATATTGTGTCGGCAGTTTATTTTGCCGGCGGCCGACGTGGGTCTACATTAGTCTGGGAGTTATTTATGTCGAAAATGTAGTTAAAAAGGGAAATTCACTACTAAAAGAGCCAACGAACTACTTGTAATGGATCGAAAAGCGCCTGACTCGTATATCAAATGTTTTAATTTACCCTCCAGGGTATTCTGCTTTGAAACATAGTTGGGATGTTAGGCTGAAAACTACTACGTAGCATTAACCTGAGTACCTAATCGTACTATGATTTGGCTGTTAACATCGGATCCCATACAGTTTAACTGGGCCCTCAAGAATCACAAGCTAAAAAGTTTACGAAGACCAAGCATTCGCTTTTTGCGGGATCGATCACCGCATGGCCCAGGCCTGTCAGATTATTGGTGATGTCAGTGTCTCAAGGCTCTCGGTCATCTTTCATGCCTTCTGATGCTGACATGAAGGACAGAATCTGGCAAACGAATGAGAGAGTGTCACGTTCAAGGTTTGTTCGCTGCCTCCTGTTGACAGCACGGGGTCAGTCGAGGGAGTAACAAAAGTCCTTTGCGCAACAGCCACAAATTACACAAAAAGGGGCAAATACAATTATGGTTAATGCGACAATTTTTTTTACTCCCAAGACTCACGGTCCATGTCTTATGCTTCGACACGAACTAGTGAATTCCGGATTCCAGCAGCCAGGTTTGATGCAGTGCATCCCCTGAACTTTCATGAGTTGTGTTAGCACCAGGGGTTATTTTCAATGGATGTATCCGTACGCTACGTAGAGCAATATCCAAACTTGAGTGGTAGTTTGTATCGCCTGGACTAGGCCCCCCGCCGAGCCTTTAATTCCTCCCCGCGTTCCAAGTGGACGCTCGGGCTACGAAGACAGGGGGTTTTATTGAAGGCAAGCGACGGCCCAGCCGACACCAAGGCGGGCTGAATCATAACAGCCAATGCAAGTCCGCCTAAAAAAAGCCTAAAAAATCGCGGAGTTACAGCGCACCTGCTGAAATGGGCGCAGCCGCGCAGGGCTGTGGCCACCAAAAAAATCCTTGTTTTATTTTTCTTACTTGATTTAATACCAGAAGGACCCGTTCTTTGGCTAGTCCCTCTCTCTTCTTTCCCTCACACCACAATTGGTGAACACCAGTTCAACATACCCACGACACCTATCCGCTGCCAAATGCATATAGCAAAGTCTGCCGTCTTCCGTACTTCTTTCTTCCGATACCAGATGCGTGTCGCGAACTTCTACGAGATCGAGCGTCACTTCGAATCACAGCCCCGCGCAGATCCGGAGCGCCGACGAGGATTCCCTTGAACAGCACGACTATCTGCACTTGTCCACTGTCTCAGCTGGGCGAGTGCTGTGTGGTGTTGTTATCAGAGCATAACCGTGCCGTTCCTAACTCCCCAAATCCCAGACTACCACTTTAAATACCGCCCGCCATGATAAGCCATGCACCTGCCGCGGTCACTACCGTCCGCGGGTTCCAGACTACACCTGCTACTTCAGGCGACGAAGACTCCGACCACGGACACAGCGAGGCCCCTACTCCGCGGCGTAAGACCCCCGGCCGAAACCTCATGGTTAATGATGTTGTGAGCGCCAACTGCAGCCCTACCTTCCGCGCCCATCCCTCGCCCGCCATGTCGGGCATCGCCAAACTGCGCATGCAGATGGAGCCTCTGAGCCTTGATGGAGGGTCCCCATGCCACTCCATGAGTCGTGCTGGAAGTCAACAGGGTCTGGCGCTCGAGTTTCGAAAGCAAATGATCAGCCGTACGCACAGTCGAGAGGATGTTCGCAGCGAGGCTGGTAGCGAGATGTCAGACAGCTCTATTAGTTACGAGGTTAACCTCGAGCACGATTTTGCTAGCGAGAGTGTTCGGGAGCGTAGTGGATATCTCGAAACCCTAGAGGGCGGCCTTGCGCCAAACCGTAAGATGACGTCGGAGGACTTTGAACAGCTGCGATGTCTTGGCAAGGGTACCTATGGTACTGTATTGCTCGTCAAGCAACGCGCGACTGGGAGACTCTACGCCCAGAAGCAGTTCAAAAAGGCCTCGCTTGTCGTCCACAAGAAGCTCGTTGAGCAGACCAAGACTGAGCGACAGATTCTTGAGTCCGTCAACAGACATCCATTTGTTGTCAAGCTGTTCTATGCCTTCCAAGACCAAGAGCAACTATACCTCATTCTCGAATACGGACAGGGCGGTGAGCTCTTCACCCATCTCAACACCGAAAAGATGTTCTCCGAGGATGTGGCCGCATTCTACATGGCGGAGATGCTTCTAGCCATCTCACATCTTCACAACGATCTCGGCGTGGTCTACCGCGATCTCAAGCCGGAAAACTGCCTTTTAGATGCTGAAGGCCACCTCCTCCTGACTGACTTTGGTCTTTCCAAGGTCTCGATCGACCAGAATGAGAGCTGCAACTCGATGCTGGGAACTGTCGAGTACATGGCGCCCGAGGTGGTCCTTGGAAAGAAGTATGGAAAGGCAGTCGACTGGTGGTCGTTTGGAGCCCTCGGATATGACCTTATGACTGGAAATCCACCTTTCCGCGGCCAAAACCACGCCAAGATCCAAGACAACATCGTCAAGCAGAAGCTGGTTCTTCCTTATTTCCTGAGCCCTGATGCTAAAGACCTGCTCACCCGACTTCTTCGCAAGGACCCCAGCAAGCGTCTCGGCGCCGTGATGCCCAAGGATCTGGCGACGATGAAGAGTCACCGGTTCTTTCGCAAGATTGACTGGAAGAAGCTGGCGGAGCGCGAGCTTGAGCCACCAATCCAGCCCATGATCACGGATCCTGAGCTAGCCGAGAACTTCGCCCCAGAGTTTACGGAGTTGTCCATCAGCCCGGTGCTACCAAACAAGGAGGCCTGGCCTCGAAGTCTCCCTAAGGATGAGCTCTTTGGAGGATTTAGTTTTGTTGCATCTTCAAGCCTGTTGAATGAAGACCGATTTGCCGCTTTTGCCCACAGCTGATAGAGTGAGTACTGTCGGAAGGAGAGGAATGGTGACTATAGAATATAAAGACAGGGGAAGGGGAGTTTATTGAGAGGCGGTGGTGTCATTCAAGATGCTTTCGTATTGATTGGTGCGGTTTTTTGCGTTACCTACAGAAAGAGCAGCTACAACAAAGACAGGGCCTCAATGGCCGTTGGAAGGTACTGTAGTATCTGTTAAGTCAGTCGAATTGTAGATTTAAATAGAGTTTCTGTTTCTGTGTATACTTGATCCTCGCCATCAACTAGGGTGTTAATAACTGCCCGAAACGTGCAAACAGCCGGGGCAAGAGACAAATAACGGATTGTGGCTATGAAGCCTATGATTAGCCGAGGGCTGGTGGGTTAGTTGGGTTGTAAGAGCACGACTGTCACTTCGTATTTGGACGAGTACCTAGTAGGCAGATAACGCAGTTGTGATGATTCGGTTGTCAGCCAAAGAGACGGGGAAATCGACGACGGAAGATCATGATCTCACATAATCGGGGATAACATGCAGAAGGGTGAGATTGAGACACTGGAGCAGGTTTGTCTGAGTACTGTACCTAGCTATATTGGTGCCCTACGCGTCGTCAACTAGGAATAGGTAGCCACCGTGCTGGCTTCAAAGAGCCAGTTTATCGGAGGAACAAGTTGCATCGATGGGTGACAACTACAACACCAACACCTACAAGCTTAAACGAATGCGTCACGGACTGACGATCGGCTCGATCATTGCATCAGACCACGATAACAGTGACAGACTGCATGAATAGGCATTGTCCAGTATGTGAGGTGGATGAGGGCTTAGACCCGACTTGGTCTGACCGTTAGAGTGCATCTGCAACATGAAATGGAGGGCCGCGCAATCATCATGTACGAGGCGTAGACTATTGCATACCATCGACTGAGGCGATACTATCAGACTGCATCTACGTTTCTTGGCATCATCGACGAAGTTGCTTTGTGATGATCGAATAATCAACCCTCCAATGACCCCAGCTCAAAAAGATTGAGGTCCATCGCCTTATTCGGAGAGAATTAGAGTAGAAAATAAGCTTTGGTCTGAAAGAGCTGACGTATTCACGAGGCTGTATCCGTACTTGTCAGTCTTAGAGGAGAGTTCCAGACCCTTGTAGCGCCGTGTTGCAAATTGGGATAATGTCATTGGGCTGAAGCTTGGCTATAATACCCTTTTTTGGGGTAGCCGTGGGCCTGGGGGAATGAGAGAGAATTGTTTATGCGACCTCATCAAACAAAATACGATGCTGCCAATGGTAGACTCTGACGTGGACCTCTCTGAGGCTATTCACACGTTGAAAACCTCGGTGCTCCACGTGGGATAACGCTGCTGCCGTGGGATGACTGTCTGTTGTCGAATTGATCAATCTACCCGAGAGAGAAGCATAATCAGATCTTTTACCAGATTCGGACGCCTAGTCAAAGAAGAGAGTCTTCCCGACAGCCCAGATCTCACCTGCGGAGATATCCCTGTTAGGGTCGGCCGCCATTTCTTTCAGTCCTTGCAAGCTTGTCATCACAGCCCTTTTCAGTGATTGAGTCCTTGTCGTATGCACTGGCAGGCAGGCTGGGCATTCATCAGCGATTGAGCGCCTATTCTAACACCAAGAGGTTTACTGAAACAGAGGGGGCCTCTCCCTCTTGTTCGGATAACGGATAGAAAGGCACACGATCACACCTTTCCAACGGCGACAGTTTCAGCATCATGATGCCTCGACTGAAAGAAACGCGCCGTTAACCAATCGTTCCGGCGTCGTGACTGTGCCCTCAAGCCCTTAAGCGGGCAAACTGCCGCCAGCTCGGCACTGAAACCCGCGATGGCTTAAGCCTATTTACTGGTGTGGATAGCATGGATAGCTCGCTGTCTGTGGCAGTGTGAGAGTGAAACCTTAATCGCTTTCATCTCATGCTTGACAAGGATTAACCAGGGCGGATCCGACAAAAGAGCTGACGACAACATCGATCCCTTCCCTTGGGTCCAAGCCTTGGGCTCAAGGGATCCGTCCCTTTGAGCCAGACTAACTAATCGCGGCACTTGTAATGTCATCTGCCGGGTCCCTTTGGTAGTATTCGACTTCGTAAATCGTCCCTAACCACGGGCACCAGGCGTTGTATCGCACAACACTGCCGTGGCTTTGCGGCGCGTAGCGTCTGTAGGCCAGTGGACGATCGTCTCAATATAGGAATGGCCCCCTGGTCTATCTCCAGTTGTGCTTTGTTTGTGCTTATTATATTTAGTACTTTCATTGTCCCCCTCATGTAAGATTCCAATCTCCTCACTCGCAGAAAAAATCATTTCCCGTCTCTTCACTTCATTTGTCTCTGCCTCTGTTTCGTTCCCAAGAATACCATGAAGTCAACTTTCAGCACATCATTAGCGGTGCTTTGTAAGTCGTTCCCCTCAACTCAGCGCACCACTCCCATCCAGCTAACAACTCTCCTTCAGCTGCCGCTGGCAGTGCAATTGCCATCACATCTTCTTTCTGCCCGGACAATGGCGACGTCTGTTTCCGATGGGGTGTCCCTGAGGCTTCTGCAAGTGCGGGATCTGGCAGCTTTTACTTCCAGATCAAGGCACCAACATCCGCACAATGGGCAGGACTAGGCACTGGATCCCAAATGGCTGGATCCGATATGTTCATCATTTACCAAGACGGCAACGGCAATGTCACCCTAAGCCCAAGGAGAGGTGTCGGAGAGGTCATGCCTCAGTACACGAAGCGAAGCGGACTCGAGCTCCTCGACGGTTCCGGAATCAAAGACAAGCAGATGATCGCCAACATTCGATGCAACAACTGTGTTGATCTTAGTCTCAAGGGAACGAGCTCGTGGATTGCAGCTTGGAGGAATGGAAATTCCCTGGATTCGACAAGCATGGAGGAGCGCATCTCTGAGCACGACAAGCATGTGGATTTCAGCGTTGACTTTGCCAAAGCCACAATGAGCTCCGACAGCAACCCATTCACTGGCAGCAACGAAAACACCAACTCGAATTCTGGTTCTAGCTCCGGCGGTGCCGTGACACAGAACGGAAGTGGTAGTAGCCCCAGCAAGACCGTTCTGCGTGCTCACGGTATCATCATGTCGATTGTCTTCATTGCTGGATATCCTCTGGGCGCAATCCTTATGCCCATGCTTGGAAAGTGGCTCATCCATGCTGGCTGGCAAGTTGTCATGTTGCTCCTCATGTGGGCTGGATTCGGCCTTGGATACGTATATGCTCGTGATGGTGGCTACGTAAGTTCTCCCCTGGGATGCGCTCGCATCAGAACCTGTCCATCAGTACTAACGTGAGACTTTTAGTGGGGAAAACAAGCTCACACAAGAATGGGCACTGCTGTTTGTGCTTTGATGACTCTGCAGCCTGTCCTTGGTTACATGCACCATCGGTACTTTGTGAGCCACCGCAAGCGAGGAGTTGTCAGCCATGTTCACATCTGGTTCGGCCGAGCCCTCATCATCATCGGTATTGTCAATGGAGGCCTTGGTCTTCAGCTTGCCAACTCATCCAATGCGTACATCATTGCATACTCCATCATTGCCGGTATCGCTGCCATCCTCTACCTGGCTGCTGCCTTTATTGGTGAGAGGCGAAGGAACGCTTCCCGTGCCAAGCAAATCTCTCCACAGATGTCTCAGGAGGAGGCACGATAAAGTGTCTCGTCAACCTAAAAGAGGAGTAGTATGGCGGAGCTGTAATGCTTAGAAGGTGTTTTTGGCTATCGGAACTCGTGAATTGTGATACCATAGATTTTCGGCCCATCGGGACTGGATCTGATAAACGGCAAGATGTTTTAACTGCGATCTCAATCGTTGGCTTTTTCTTCTTTTTCTTCCTCTTCTTTGTTACCTTGGAAATCCTTTTAACTTATCATATAACATATCAATAAACTTGATGAAAGGATAAGATCAAACAATTTTGGTGACCAGTATTGCGCAACATGGTTAGCATGAACTTTGGAAGCTGTTGCTCCATTGATATTCGAACATGACAAATTGCGACAACTGGAAAGAGCTGAAACAAGTGTGGCAGTAAGCAAGACTCTACCAGTCTACAGTAGTTGGATATACTCTCTCGAACAAATTGAGCATTAAGATCCATACTGACTGAACTCCGTGTAAGTGAATAGCCCGAGCAGAGAGGGTCCACTGCAACATATATAGATCGATCCTGGCCAATCACACCTCTCAAAGGTCACGTGCCAACGATCCGTGAAGCTCCGGCAGCCTGCTCAAACCTCAGGCATCAACTCCACGATAGCAAGGCCGAACCGCTCTAACCGGGGGCGAAGACGCATGGTCCAGTGCAACCTCTCACGATTTTTCCCCCAAAACCCTCAATCGACTTCGCCCTCGATCTCGCCCTCGCCCATCTCCCCCGGAGTTACCCCCTCAATTGAGCCACCACCAGCCATTCAAAATGCTCATTCAACTCTCCAGGGCTTCGGTAAGAACAAAAGTCAGGCCTAGGCGATGAAAAAATACTCATGGTTCTATAGCGCGCTCGCTCCGCTGTTGCGGCTGTTTCTCGTGTCGCCAGACCCAATGCCGTTCAGGTGAGGGGCTTCATTGCTCCCACTGTCTCCCGGAAAGGTAAGACTCTATCTATGCTGCTCTATGCTCCTCGGTCAATTCCTTTGGGTGTCGCGAATACATCATCTCGATTGTCTATTTCTCCCGGTCGGACCTGTCCTATACCCGAAACTGTACTCCACCTAAGCTCCGACGTCGCCAAACAACCAGCATCAAATAAAAGACATCATTCAGAGTTCGAATTGCGGTTGGCTATATGGTCTCGCATCTCTCATCAAATTTGACAGGCCGTTACCCGATCAGCCCGAATATGATCTAACCGAATCAACGTTCACTTGCTGACATCATACCTTCACAGCCGACTTTGTCCAGGAGCTTTATCTCAAGGAGCTCAAGGCCTACAAGATCCCCGCCGTCAAGGAGTCCGATGCTGAGGGCAACGTCCAG